GGGAGGCAAATTCATCCTCTCTCAGAGCATGGAGCACAACACCACGCTGCTGCCTCCCAGCTGACAACCATGGCCCTCCTGGGAGGAAGAGCAGGCAGAAGAAGGACCCCTCACAGATCCAGAATCCTGTGTGGCTGGGGACATGGGTGGATGAGGCCCTGGCTCCGTCTGGTTTGGCAATGGACTGCTCTTGGCAAATGGTGCTGGCAACCAGGCAGGTCAGGCTCCTTCCTCACCCAGCGCATCCTGGGGCTGAACCCAAGAGGTGGCTTCAGGGAGAAGGAGGTGGCCCAATAGCTGACGTTAAAAGAAGCCTCGCTCAATGGACCAACAGATAAACAAAATGTGATCCATCTATACCTCGGAATAGTATTTAGACATAAAAAGGAAGGAAGTTCTGACCTATGCTACATTGTAGACGAACCTAGAAAACATTATGTAAGTGAAGAAGTCAGTCACAAAAGACCACAGGTTTCATGGTTCCGCTGATGTGAAATTCCCAGAATACTTAAATTCATAGAGACACAAAAGCAGATTCGGAGTTGTCAGGGACAGGGTGAAGGAAGAATGGGGAGTGACTGCTGATGGATATGAGGTCTCCTTTGGGGGTGAAGAAAATGCTTTGGAACTAGATAGAGGTGGTGGTTGCACAACATTGTATATGTGTTAAATGCCACTGGATTGTACATTCTAAAACGTTATATGATAATGCCAGGCACGGTGGCGCATGCCTGCAATCCCAGCACTTTGAGAGGTGGAGGCGAGAGGATTACCTGAGCCCAAGGGTTCAAGACCGGCTTGGGCAACTTGGTGAGATCAAGTCTCTACAATAAATCAAAGCATTAGCAGGGCATGATGGTGCATGCCTGTAGTCACAGCTACTTGGGAAGGATTGCCTGGTCGAGGCTGTGGTAGCCATGAGCATGCCACTACATTCCAGTCTGGGTGACAGAGTGAGCCTCTATGACTCAGATAGATAAATAAATAAATAAATAAATAAATAAATGTTATTTGATAAGAATTTCACCTCAATAGAAGGAGGAGGAAGAGGAGGAAGGGGAGGGGGAAGAGGAAGGGAAAGAAGTAGAAGAGTCAGCAGTAGCTGCCACAGCCTGAGGCTCCAATCTAGAAGACTCCTATCTCTAGATGCGCAAGCCAGGGGTCAGCTTTTGCGTCTAGAGAAAGAGCGGGGTCTGCCTGGGCCTTTTCCAGAGAGGGTGCCAATACCCCACAGCCTGCACCAGGCCCTGCTTTAGGGGGCTTGGCCTCGGCCAGGAGGCCCCAGAATTCCTGCAGTCTCAGGAATAGGCTCCCTGATTCCAAGTGGCCAGCTGGGCCTGGTCTCAGCCAAAGGTGGGGGGGGCGTGCTTTGGAAAAACTGTTTGCACAATCCTCCATCTGGACTCCAAAGACTCTGCTTGTTCTTTGTGCTGCAGGGCCACGTGGAAGCACTGTGACCCTGCCTGACCTAGATTGTGGCCCAGGAAGCCTCGTGGACACCCACTCTCACCTCTGACCCCCACAGAAACCCCCGCACAGCCTGCCTGACCAAGGGGCACCCACGCTCCCCACTTTTAAAAGCATCTGTCTCATTGTCGAGCAGTGTGGCCTGCTTGAACAGATGTCCTCAAACTGAGCCCAAACCAGCCTCACACTCTCCTACATTGGGCCTATCTCTGTCCTCCAGGGCTCACACAGAACAAAGAAACCTGGCAGGGTTTTGGGGTGGGCAAAGGCCGGGGCTGGGGACTCCTCACCCACCCAGAGGCTTACATCAGGCCCGCCTGTCATTCCTACAGACCCTGGAGGTTTCCACACCTCCCCAGGCCTTAGTTTCACAATTCACAAAATGTCTGAGCCACCTCTCTGGGCCATCCTAAGGCTCTGTTGAGAGAAGGGTGGAATATTTCTCAGAACAAGGCAAGGGGCTCCAGAGCAGCAGAAATCTTTAGGGTCAGACCTTCTTGGAATTTCTTGTGAAGGAACGTCCACTCCCTAAGGCCCAGAAGGTTTGGCGTGACCTCCACCCTTGGCCCATAGCCATGTCCTCGGGTATCAACCGAGAAAGAAGGGGCCAGGCTTGAAGAGGTGACATTCATTTCTCACAGATGAGGAGGGACTGCCAGTTGTCCTGGGTTGCTTGGTCAGACTTTCTCAGGTCCTTGCCCTGGTCTTTCCCCCACATTCCTGGTCCCTTCCCAACCTTCCAGTTCTCGGGCCACAGAAGGACATAGGCATTCAGTGGCAAGAGACCAGATTAGGAGCCCAGAACCCTGGGCCCAGTTTTGGTCATAACTGGTTGCATAACCTAAGGCCTGATGCACTGCTGAGAGAGAGACACTGGGCTCCCTGGGCCCTTCCTAGTAGGCATCCCCATCATTGTCAAGGGCACAAACACCCTCACACATTTCCAAACCCTCTAGGGGTGGGGGACTTCTATGAGACCATTCAGTAACAAGTTTGGACACTCGGTTCTGGTGGGGACTCTTTGAGACCATGGAAATTCACACTCGCTAGCTAGGCTGCCTTGTCACCAGACCCTGTATACCAGCCCCTCTGTTCACAGTGGGCAGGGTGTGCTGGGGGAGGCAGGGCTTCCCTGCTTCTTGTTTCCTGGCTCCACCCTCTCACCATTTTTGATAAGGTCAAGGTAAGGGACCAGCCCTTCTTCCCCAGTCCCTTGCAGACCAGCTCTCCCTGCTGAGCTGTGGGAACCTCCACCCCTTTCTCGTTTTGAGGGTGCGTCTGCGGGACTCTGAGGCTGTGATTCCTGTGCACAGGGGCTTGTCTGTTTCAGGTGGCTTGTCTCCAGCAGTGACAGGAAGGGAATGCCAAATTAACGCTGGGTAATAAATTCTGCAAAAGCCAATAAAACCAAAGCGGAGGGATTGAGGGGAAGAACCGCAGCAACTGATTAAACATTTTTGTTGGCAGGCACAGACACATGGCACATTTTCCAAGGTTTGCATCAAGGAGACATCTGGCCATGGCCCATGTGTTTGTGGGAGGGAGTCCCGGCAGGCAGAGACAAGGAGCCAGGGAGGGCAGGACCCTCACAGGGGCCATGAGCTGGGGAACAGGCACTCTGCTGTGGGGGCAATGGCCTCAGTAAGCCAGTCAGGCAGGCAGCGTTGGAGTCTGCCTCCATGGTCTGAGCCTCAGGTCCAGGCACCCTGGTCAACTCCATGGGTTGCAGGAGCCAAGGCTTGGGGAAGAGAATGTTCTGAGCTTGGAATGCCTGCTGCCCAGCCCACCACACTCCATGCCCAGACTCAGAAGTCTGAACTCCAGGCCCAAGGCCCAGCCCTCCTCTGAGTTAGGGAGAGAGAGCCATTAGGTAGGCCAGAGGGGGCCCACAGAGGACCTCTTCCTGCCTGGGTTCCCTGGTCACTCCACAAGATATGCTCCACCTTGGTACCTCTGTGCCCTCACTGCTCCTCTCTGGCATCATCCTTCTTGCCTTCAAGGGCCCACTGTGCTTTGGGTCCCAGAGCCCACATGATGGAGTGAGCTGTGTGCATGTGTTCCCAGAAGGCTCTGTCCTTATTCACTCCTGTCTTTCCCCATGTCTGCTAAACCACTGTGGCTCTTTGGGGGCTGATATGTACCTGCAGCAGGAGATGGTGGGGGCCACAGGGGCAGAGTGGGACAGTGGCCAGCTGGCTTGGGTCAGTCCTTGGCTCTGTTGGGAGCAACCGGCTTTCTACAAGAAACTCTCCTGTCATTCAGTGACTACCGCCCCTCCCTCACTGCCAATAGGACAGGATAAAGCCCTGCCTGCAGCAGTCTCAAGCCAATGCCCCACCTCTCTGCCTAGACACAGGCCAGGGTGTCATTATGACACTTGTGGAACTGCTCAAAAGAAGCATCACTCCTCCCCATGTAAAAATAGAGGAATATATCAGAGTCCTGGTTTCCTAGACATTTCAGTGCCCCCATTGAGCTACTCAGCTCTGGCATGATAACCTAGTGGTCTGAGGGCCTCCACACATGGAGACTTATACGTGGCTTTTACCGGCTGACTTCAGCAATGCTGACGGGGTCCACGCTTCAGAAAGACACTGCTTTGCTCACACTGATGGGGCATATCTCTTGGCCCCATCTCTTGGCCCTGTCAGACCCCATGCCCCCTGCAGGGTTGGGTCAAGTTCACTGCCCAACCTGTGGCCTCATCCTCTTTGCCCTGGGCCCTGAGACTGAGACTGACTGTGGGCCCAGGACCACCACTATGGTGTCTGAACGGCTCCTCCCTCCTGGCTCCTGGCCTCAGCCTTGCCTCCTGACTGCCCCTTGCTGGCCACACCAACCACTTGCTGTCCCTCAGCTATGTCTAGCTCAATCTCACCTTCATGGATGTCATCACCAGGTAGGCCACCAGGTAGGCCACCAGGTAGGCCAAAGGGGGCCCACAGAGGGCCTCTGCCTGCCTGGGTTCCCTGGTCACTATACAAGATATGCTCCACCTTGGTACCTCTCTGCCCTCACTGCTCCTCTCTGGCAGCATCCTTCCTGCCTTCAAGAGTCCGCTGTGCTCTGGGTCCTGGAGTCCATGTGATGGCATGAGCTGTGTGCGTGTGTTCCAAGCAGGCTCTGTCCTTATTCACTCCTGTCTTTCCCCATGTCTGCTAATTGAAGACAGGTGGCTCTGTGGGGGCTGATGTGTACCTGCGGCAGGGGGTGGGGGACACATGGGCACCCCTCATCTGGAGAACCCCTGTTCATCCTATGGGATTCCTCTCAGTGGTCACCTGCTCAGGCCAAACCTCCCTGGTTGGGGCAGCAGCTCCTCCTCCCTATGTCTGTGGGCTAACCCCACCCCTGCCTCCATGCCATCACCTACTGCAGAACTCAGCTCTCTTTCTCACATCTCTCTCTCTCTGCAACCTTGGGAGTTAGCACAGGACCTGATGCTGAGAAATAGATAGAGTTAGAGTAAGCCTTGGTTTCCCAGGGACAGAGGTTGCCATAAAGAGGAGGTTATAAGGCCCGAGTCTACCTACCTCTGAGAAGAACACAGACAGAATGACCAGACTGATCCAGTGAATTACACCAGCAAACTGGAAAGCACTGGAAACTGCAACAAACACAATAAGGACCAACTTTAGAAGCCAAGAATTAGGTGCATGGGTAGGGAGGCATTGAGGCAAGCCTCTGGGACCCTGAAGCCTGCATGCATGAACGTTAGATCTGAGAATCAGATAAGAGAGGGGCAGCTTTAACCGGTGTCTCAATGGAGGCAGTGCATGTCTGTGGGCCAATGATGCTGTTCTTTCCTCTAGCCCAAGGCTGAGTCTCTGAGTTCCCACTCAGCCTTTGGTGGGTTTTTTGCTGTAACCAGACTCCAAGAAAGAAGCCCTTCAGAGGGGACTTAGGAAGATATTCATGGCTTTCAGACCCAAGTGGGCAGCTTCAGCCTAGATGGGCTTTTAGAAATCTACTCTACAATTCGCCACCCAAAGTGTTATGTACAGTTAGAGGACCCAAGGCAAGCTTATTCTGACTTTTCATTCTGAAAACTAGAAGTGACAGAGATGGTGTTGGCCAGGTGCTGTGGAGAGGAGGTTGAAGTGATAACTGGAAGCAGGGCTAGGTATGAGGTGGGGGTGTCGGCCTCCTACCCAAGAGTGGCAGAGTCAGACAGCTGGGGTCTGCTAAATGTCCACTTGCCTCCCAGGTTCTGGAGTGTGAGTAGGGAGAGTCTTTGGACACTGAGGGTTCCCCCTCTCCCTCAGACCAGTCAGTCCTTGGTGTTAAGGCACTATCTCTGAAGACCCCCAGCATGGCATAGTTTATCACCCAGTGAGACAGGGTACTGGGGTCCAGGACAAGGGTCTGGTGAGCTCTGGTGGCGAGTGGGTGGGAGGGATGCCCCCAGAGGGCAGGAGGCTCCCCAGGGCCCTAAAAGAGATACTGGCAGGACATGCTGGGACAGTGGACTAGGTCTGAGAAGGGGCAGGGAGCAGGAATGCTGCTGAGAACATGTCTGCTCTGCCTCTCTCGTGGGCTGTGGCCAGACCTGCGTGGCATGCTGCTCAGAATCCCTTGGGAGCCAAAGGAAAGTGGCCAGTGCCTCAGTGGGGAGAGCTGGCTGAAAGAAAGGAACCCATGGCCTCTCCCAAAACTCTGGGATCTGCAGATCCCAGGGGTGGGTAAAAACCAGGTTACAGAGCATATCCGGGGGAAGAAGGCTGCAAAATCAAGTTCCAGGTGGGAGATTCTGGGGTCCCCTGGCTGTGGGCCAAGATGACCGACCCTTAGAAGATGAGCCGGGAGACGGGCCACATGGATACCAGTGGGAACCAAGAGGCTGAGGCCCGGGTGACTCCACAAAGACCTCCAGATGATTCTGAAAACATAAAATCTCTCCCCATTATTTCCCAAATGAATTCCTGTGCCTTTTTTTACGGTTTGCTTTAGAAGAGCAATAAATCTCTGATTGTGCGTTTTATGGAATTTAAGATGCCTTTTATGAGCTGCTATTGAATCTCCCACCAAAATCAATCTCCTGGATACTTAATTTTAAGCAAAATTCCAGTGTCGGCTGGGTTCTCAGTTGTACTCAATGCCTTGTCACAACCTGAGCAGCCAAGGGCCCCGAGGACAATCTGCCACAGGGAAAGAAAGGCTCCATTATGGTCAGGTCTCATAAAAAGCAGACAGTATGGATGAGTGGGAGGGAAAGGAGACAACATGGTTTAATTGAAGACAGGTTGAGTATAAAAACCAGTACCGGTCACTTTATGCTGGAAGATCCTTTAATTGGAACCAAGGGGCCACCAGATGCATAAAACCCAACTAGGCTTACCAGACAAAAGCAATTCTGTGCTCACTGCCATCCTCTTTTAGAGAGCAGGGAAGGCTAATGCGACCTGGAGGGAGCTTTGACAGACCCCGAGTACAGAGGATTCAGGAGAGGAACTGGGGGCATTTGAGTAAACAAGTCCAAGATGACTGAGTGAGATTGGAGGTGGCTGAAAGGAAAGGAAATCCCTCTGGGGCCAGTAATTTTACTTCTTTTTATTCGTACTTATAGGGCCCGCCTTCTGAGTCACGAAAATATGGGGAACCAGAGCTCTACCAGAAACATATCCAAGGCCCAGGGCCCTCTGGTCACCAAACCAGGGTCTGCAAGGGTGTTGGAGAAGTAAATGGACCATCCACTCAGACAGCCACATTACCACAGGACAGCCAAGCCACGCGCATGAGGCTTCACATGAAACTAGGACAAAAACCAAGAGGGAACAGAACTGGCCAAGCAGTTAAATGCTCTGGTGGCTCAAAGTTCCAGCTTCATACCTCTTGTCCAGGGCAAGTCTCTCACCTCTCCAAATCATAACTTGCCTTGTCTATTACATGGAATCATATCGGCCAGGAACATCTCATGGGGTAGCTGTAGTGTCAGATGTATGGAAAAGTGTTTTCAGAATGATCACACTATGTGTAAATAACACTGCCAACTCACGAATGGGTAAAAACGCAAGGAATCTTATCGTCACTGCGGCTGCTAATCTTATCATTATTAGTGACTACAAGGTGATATGCCTCTGTGAATGGGAAGTCTCTTTAGGCTACAGAAAGCTCCAGCCTGGAAAATTCCAAATGGGAACAATTAAAAAAAAAAAAATGCACACAGGGGTCCCCAACGTTTGTTATCTCATCAGTTTCTGATCATGGAATGCTGGTGGGGGGGACTGCAGAGGCCACATTGGGCGGACAGGGGCAGACTGGTGGTGGGACAACAGTCAGAGAAGCTGCCAGGCATTTCCTCCCCAGTCATCATCCCCATGAGTGGGGGGCCTGCGGCCGGGCGGTGGCAGCGGCTGGGGAGAGATCGCGGTCTGCTGGTTGGGGACCCCTGATAGATGCAGATGCACATTGAATATTGACATCATACATATTTGCATAGGTATCTCTCTTGCTACTCACACTGGAGAAGCTTTATATCTATTAGAAGTTCCAGAGTCAGGAGAATCACCACCAATATTACACAGGCTACCAGGAAACTGTTGACACTTGCACTGAGCAAAAATACCTGCCACACGGCTGCTCTCTTCCCACAGCACGGCTTCAGCCAGTTAGACCTGTGGGAGACAAAATGGGGAGGAAGGGGTTAAAAGCAGGAGGGGACAAGGGGGTAGATCCCGGCCACAATCCACTCTCAAACCCACCAGCATGGCTACCCCCGGGCTCCACTCTGCTCTACACTTCATGATGGAACTCGAGGCCACCGGGTAGGATCATCAACAGCAAACACATCTCATCAAGAGAGGGTGCTGGGCTCATACACTGATGCTGGTGGTGCATGGCATCTCTCTGTGCTTCGGGGGTCCTCATCTTCAAAGTGGATATGAAACTGACATCACATGGATTCAAGAGTCCTCTCCAAGGGCTACATGGAAATGAGCTCTTATCATCGTACTCTTGTGCATCCCAACGCAGGCTCTGGCATTTAAGAGAACCTCAATTTGTTTTGAGTTAATGCTCATTGAATGAGTGAAAGAACTTTTCCATTTTTCAACTATAAAAAGAAAGATTTGAACCAGATCCTGGTTTTTCAAAGTAAGTTGTATGGAACACTGGTTCCAAGAATGTTAATAGTTGTTACTTGATACAACAGTTCCCATGGCTGGGTACATTTTGGAAAATTTGGGTCAAAGTAAAATGGATATTTTTCTCTGTGGGACATATCAGTGCCTTTAATATGCTATTAAGCATCATCATGCTTAAAAGGGATTATGGTACCAGCATTGAATGTTGGCACCCTTCTGTCACAGAGCGAGAATCTGGTGGGACCAGTGCACCATGGGCTGTCTTCTGGGAAACCCTTGACTAAGTGATCCTGAACATCACAGGTAGAGCTGAGGCCACTGAGGACAGACTCTCCTGAGTAGATCTGGAAGTGGGAGGGACCACAGAATCTCAGAGCTGGGTGGGGCCCTTAGGGAATTTGATCTGCTTCCCTCAGGAACACAAGAGGGGGCGCCTCTGAGAGACGTGGGGGAGTACAGGGCAGGGGGTGCTGCAGTCAAACCTCACTGACTTGGTAGTTCAGTTACGGGCTGGATCTGCCTGCCCTCCCTGGCTGAGGAAGAACTAGGCCTCCTGGAAGTGGCAGAGACAGCACTAGCCTGGGAGGCCCTACTCCTGGCTCTGCCTTCAGCTGCCCTGCGGCCATATGCAAAGGCACCTCACTGCCCTGGGCCTCTACCTCCCTGTTTGTAAAATGGGGATAATACTCCTTAACTCACAGGGTTATTGAAGGAGGGAAAGTCTCTAACCTGTAAAGCACAATGTAGATGAAATAGGATGACGATGGTGATGATGGTGATGGTGGTGATGGTGGTGATGACAAAATATCAGATGGCCCAAATGCATGGCTGTCACCCCCTGTCCTTTCCATCCAGAGGGAGTCAATCTGCTGAAGCCGGCTGCGGGGAGGGCCAGTGCCCACCTCCTGAAGTTCCTAAGGGTGTCAGAACGGGGCTCGGATGGGGGCTGTGCTTTGAGGTGCTCCCCTCTCTCTGATGGAATAACACGAATGCTTCAAGGTGAGATTTCTTTCTCGCAATCCATCCAGAGAAAGCTTGAACGAGTCCCCAGCTTTTGGAAGGGGGGACAAAACTCACAGTTCTTCAAGAAACCCGGTGGCAATCCGGGCTTATTTAAGTCTTTCCGGAGATTTTCTAGCACCTATGGGAATGGCAGACCCTGTCCTAGGCTCTGTAGAGGAGGTAAAGACTGGTGTGCAGTCTCCAGACTTGGGAAGTGGATCCCAGGAAGAGAGGTAGGAGGATTTTAACAGGCAACGGAGGAAGCAGAGGAGGTCATTTTGGACAGGAGGTAGGAGGAGGCTGATGTGAACCCCACGTGGTCCAAGAGTATGGGACAAGGGATGAGGAGGCCAGTCAGACCATAAGAGAGGGTTTCTCATTAAGGGACGAGTAGAGGACGGGGGAGAGGTCAGCGGGGGCCAGACTGTGCCATCGATGAATACCTTCAACACCCTTTACGAGTGGATTTCCAAGTCCATTTCAGAAACACTTTCCACTTTCTTGCAGGCCCACAAGGGCCAACTTGCAAGCAAAAGGCTACAGGGAAAACTCCAAACCATGTGGCACTCGTGGGGTTGCCAGATCAAACACAAGATACCCAGTTCAATTTAAACTTCAGATAAACAACGAACAATTTTCTAGTATAAGTATATCCCAAACATCACATAGGACATATTCATACTAAAAAATTGTCTCATTTATCTGAAATTAAGTGTAGCTGGGTATCCTGTACTTCTTTGTTTTTCTGAATTGGGGGTCTCACTCTGTTGCTCAAGTTGGAGTGCAGTGGCACCATCACAGCTCACCGCTGACTCCACCTCCTGAGCTCAAGTGGTCCCTCTGTCCCAGCCTCTAAGTAGCTGGAATTACAGGCACATGCCACAATGTTCGATTAATTTTTTTGATTTTTTTGTAGGGATGAGGTCTTGCTGTGTTGACTAAACTGGTCTTGAAGTCCTGGACTCAAACAATCCTCCCTCCTCAGTCTCCCAGTGTTGGAATTACAGGCGTGAACCATCACCACCCCTGGCCTAAACTGTATTCTTATTTATTGAATCTGGCAGCCTAAACTCAGAGCCGAGAGGTCTCCAGGAAGCCCCTGGCGATGGCAGCTGTGATTTGGTCAGAGACTGCATGACATGCAGGCAAAAAGCCAGGGTGAGGAAGGAAGGCTCATCCTGGAGGGGCAGGAGTAAAGGACTTGGATGGGGAAGCCTCTGCCACGCATTCAGATGCCTCTGGTTCTGACTGACAGGAGGCCCATGGAAGCCCAAGGCTGCCCCCAGGAGTGTCCACTTTGTATTTTAAAGACTCTTTGAATTTTGAGATATCTTTAGCTACCTTTACTTGGCTGTCTTCCTCCCCTCCTCACCCACCCCGTCTGTCTTACTTACTCCCCCTGCTTCTTTTCCCACTACGTGACATTCCTCCTCTTTTCCCACAATGTGACATTCCTGCCTCCCTTTCTGCTCACTGGGACCCATTTTTGTTCTTCACACCTCTCACCCCAAGTTTGCACCCAGCCTCCCAGCTGCCTCAGCACTTCCAGAAGTTTCTTCCCCCTCCTGCCCTTCGCTCTCCCTGGTCACTCCTTCCCTTGGCTGCAGCACCATCTTTTCCAGGGTTCCAATTCCACAGCCTCCCTAAAATTCAGTCCAATGTCTGTGACCCCTAAAACTGATGTCACGCCATTGTCATTTGAAATCTGAGCTGAGTACCCTCTGGCAGTTATAAATAAAAAGGGCGGCTGCCAAGGCCGTCTGCCTGGAATGGCATCACGTCTGAGCGGGAAGCCTCTCCTTCACATCCCACGGAAGGCACGGGTACTTCACCTCTGTGCCTTGTACATCCGAGGAGTACAGGGTGCACCCTGATTCTTTCACCCGAGAGGGGAGTGGGGAGGGAGAAGAAATGGAACAAAGTCTTTCCTTCAGTAGCAGTATTTCTGCATGCTGAATTCCCTATAAACAGGAGACTCAAGTTTGTTTTTTGTTTTTGTCAAAGTTTCACTCACTTCGGCCTCCCAAAGTGCTAGGATTATAGGCATGAGCCACCGTGCCTGGCCTTAAGAGGCTCAAATCTTGAGCTGCCTCCAAGGGTAGAAAAAGCCATTTCATATTACAGGTTAAAATATTTCTTTTTTTTTTTGTTATTGTTGTTAGAGAAACTTACTAGCCAGACCAGGAGGTCGTTCTGGGAAGCTCTAGGTGCAAAGTGAGGTGGGGAAAAGCCTAGGAACTCACACATAGCAAGGGAGAGAGAGGCAGATGAGTGTCTGGGGTCACCTATGATCTGGAGTTAGCCTACACTTGGCCTGGCCCTGATACCAGGGCATACTCCTAGGCCTCCAGAAAGAGCTAGGCAGAAGACCAAGCAGATGGGCAGGATTCAGAAACTAGGCAGGGGACAACGGTCTGAAAGTTAAATGGATATTGGCCACCCACCACACGCTAGGTAGACAGTGTGATCAACAGAGGCAAAAAGCCCTGCTCATGGGCAGTTCACATTCTAGTAATAAACATGACAAGTTATGGTATACTATAAGGTGATAAGTACTTTGGAGGGAAAAGCAGAACGGGTGAGGGATTTGGACAGTACAGGGCGAGTTGACAATTTAAATCAGGTGGCCAGGGGAGCCTCATCGAGAAAGCGTCATCTAAAAACGTTGAAGAAGCCAGACTCGGTGGCTCAGCCTGTAATCCTGCGCCTTTGGGAGGCTGAGTTGAGCAGATTGCCTGAGTCCAGGGGTTTGAGACCAGCCTGGGCAACTTGGTGAGACCTCATCGCTACAATCAATCAAAAAATTAGCCGAATGTGGAGGTACACACCTGTAGTTCCAGCTACTTGGCTGAGGTGGAAGGGTCGCCTGAGCCCAGCAGGTCGAGGCTGTGGTGGCTGTGAGCATGCCATTGCACTCCAGCCTGAGCAACAGAGTGAGGCTCCAACTCAAAAAAAAAACATACACTGCACAGGGACTCTTCATGGTAAAATTCTACTCTGCCCCCAAGTACCTCCAGCACGAGAAACACCAGAGTGATGGGAGCCAGGAATTGGGCCAGGAGGAGGACAGGGCTCACCGCCTCAGCAGTGGGTATAGCTCACCCACCACTCACCACCCAGGGCACATGCTGCTGGTGCAGCTCACAGCCCTTGGCACACCCAACACAGCGCCCAAGAAGCCCCAGGGCAGCTGCAAGATGGAGCCTGTGCCTTCCTGTTGTGTCCTATCTTCCACTGGGGTGTCCCCTCAGTTGTCCCCCACCCATGCTCTGCCTTCAGCTCCCCGCCCCTCCACCATGCCAGTCTGGGAATGAGTTCACGCAGGTGCCCTTGTTGGGGGTGGCATTTGCATCTTGCTCTATGTGAGGCCCCCTCTCCCTGGTGACTTCAGGGCAACACACATGGGGCTGGAGTAGGAGAGAAGACCACCTGTCAAGGCAGGATGGGAATATGTAGCTCATGAGGACTGGCTGCCTGGGGGCAGGGGACAGGGTTGGGGGGTGGGCAATGGAGGCTGGGGGTGGAATCTG